AAGACACTTGTTCATAAAATGTGCTTTTTGGTATCTTTATATTTTTTGTATATGATATATTTTAAGAAAGTGAGAAGCTATTCATGGCAAGTAAGGTGATATGTTCTCATTGTACTCTTTTGAGGCTTTTGAAATTCTGCGAAATCTATTTTTAATGGCAATGTCAATTAAAGACTTTCTTCTCTTAAGAATTGCTCAAAAGTTTACAAATTGTTACTCTTTGATTTTTCTATAGTATCCAGATTGTTAGGAAAGAAACAGATATTTCTTTATTTGCAACTAATATTTCCTTGTGATTTGACCAAATTTATTCACTTTCTTTTTCCATTAGAGTAATAATTCCTTAACCAGGTTTATTATACTCTTTGAAGATAATTATAATAAATTTATTACTTAAATTTTTAAAATGTTTGTGTCAAAATAACAATGATCTCTTGAGTTCCACATTTAGTTCTTCCATAATAAGCTTCTATTCCTCTGGTTTTAAGGTATTCTATCAAGACAAGTCTGAAATAAATATAGCCAGGTTCTGGACTCCCTTTCAGCTTGGTTATTTTATGTCTTTCTAAAACTTTATCTTTACAAACCATAAATTCAGAAAAAATTCTTTCATCGTGAAATATAATATCTTTTCATCAATTCTTCTACCATTCCAGGACCATATAATACACATTTCATACACTCCAATTCATTTCAATAGTTTAGTATAAATAGTATGCATAAATTAGTGAATCATTTATCTAGTAATTTTGCTTATTATAATTGGTATGCATATTTTTTTCTTTAGATTTAAATTGTTTGTATAAAAAAATTATTTTAAGTCATCTAAAGCATATGATTTTGGACCCTTAGCTCTGTATTAAACCCATATTCATCATTATTTCTTTCAGTATTATCTTCTATGGAATTATTATAATATAATTAATAATTTTAAGTTCATTCATGTAAATTTATGAACATTTTGATCATTATTAAATTCATTATAGTTTTTTTTGAATCTTGAATAAGCCCATCTATAATATTGATATCATATATATGGCCTTAAATAATGCTCTTGTATTTATACATTTTGTTGGCTGACTCTTTAATATGAAAATAAAATGACCTTGCAATATTATTATTTATTATTTTTCCTTTAAAATAGAAATAGTATATTATATTTGTTAATGATAAAAATATTTTGTCTTAAATAAATTAAGATATTTGAATCAGAATCAAAGTGGAATTTGACAATTTTAAACTTTATCAAAGATTATGTCCTGATTTCTGTACCACTACTCTCACTACCCTTGTAAAAGCCTTTATACCTTTGTCCACTACTAAATATATATTTATTTTAAAATATGATAATTGAGTAATATTATCTATATTTAACCACCAATTCTATGATATAAAGCACCTTGAATTCTAAAAGTATAAACACCTTCTCTAGCATTTGGAAGATTTTCATCAATGTTTGCCCAGAATCTTAGCATTTATTGAAATACTTATAATAATTTCCAGAATGGATTTTCAATCTTATGTAATGAATAATCTTTGACAATCCATCTGTTAATATACCTTTCATCATATTGGGTGTGTGTAATTGAATTGTTGAATAATTAATTAATGGGTTATTATTTAATTCATTTTTTGGTATAATACATATGGACATGGCATCTTGCTAATGATGTAAGTGCAAGGTGTGGAAATTTTTTAATGTTCAAGCACTTTTCCCATTCTTGCCAGTCTACATATCTATTTAATTTATTATTAAGAGTTATTACTAGTATATTCTCTTAAGACTAAATAAATATAGATGAAACACATTTGAGTATTAGTTTGTAAATAATATTTTTTAATGTTGAACCTTTTTTTTCAATAACAAAACTCTACTTTTCAATACTTCTTTTTCTTGTAGGCTTTTTTCCAATAATAAAACTCTGCTTCTCTTTTTTGAAGTATATTTATTTATCAGGCTTTATTTTGCAAAGGGTGTTTTTAGTAATTTTACAACTTCAATGTATTGTAATTTTTTATATTTTCTTCTTTTTTTCTGTATATAGAAAAATCAGTTATCCATATATATTTTTCTTTATATAGAATGAATACTGAATTGATGTATTACTATTAAATATTCTGTCTTATTAATTACTTAATCCATGGACTATATATACTGTGATATCTATGTATGATGATGTATTTATTCATCTGGTCTGCATAAAATGCTAATTTCTTCCTGTAACTATTCAGAAATGGTTTACTGCTGGAGCAGATTCATAATTATGTCATGGATTTCAGCAGATACAATAGAGTTGTCCCTTAAAATATAATATGCATTGAAAAAAATCTTGTGATAATTTTTTTCAGCATCTTGGAAGAAGGAGAGGAAGTTTGACAAACAAAAATTTTGCAGAAGAACTGCTGGTTGTGAGGAAAGAGAAAAGGACTTTCTAAGATTTTGATCTTTAAAAGGCCTTACTGTAAGTTACAATCAATTAAGTCAGTTTTCGAAAAATGTAAAAAACTTGCATTTGAAATCTTAACTCTTTTTTAATATTTTAATGTCATAATCAACAATAGACAATTTTAGAAATTAAATCAAATCTTCAGTAGTGCAACTTCTTATTGTGCTTTTATAATCCATGCTAATAAAGCTTTTTTTTTAGATTACTCATTCAAAATGTGTAGGATAAAAACCAATAAAACTTGAAATAAAGAATGTAGAAAACATAAGTATACAAGTACTTTCAATTCCATCATTGGAATTTCTATTTATAAGTTCTTTTTTGAATGTTGCAAATAGCCATATAGTTGTATTTTAAGGATAGTATATAGTTGTTTATAAACTAATAAAATGGTATTTGTTCACAAATATCATTTGATTTGGTAAAAAATATTGCATGCAATTTTTTTTTTTTTTGCTCTTTAATTTATTTTTTAGAGAAATATTCATCCTGTCTCTTATACACATCTAGATGTGTATAAGAGACAGATATAGGGCTTATTCCCATTTGATAATATTAAATCATGAATTCATTCACAAATAATATTGGTATTTTTTTAAGTTCAATTACTTAGATTACCAAAGCCTTCTGGCTTAGACTGGTGGCTATGGTAAGCTTAATCAATTTTTCATAAAATATTAATATATTTTGGTAATTTTGATAATCTTTTGTAAAAATCTACAAATAACTGCCACAAAGCCATATTGTAAAGCCATGCTACAAAGCCACCTTAGATGAGATGATTAATTATTTAATTCTAAAGTTTACTATGATCCAAAATAATCAATCCTTAAGATAATAGCAATTTTGTTATTTGAGTTTGCCAATTACTTATTTTTTAGTTAAAGATCAATAGCATAAAATGTTTGTTTAGGAAAATTTTTTAAAGTTGATTTATGCTTAACATTATTAAATAAAAATTTAACATTAATAGTGTAAGTTACTTTTTTTAATACAAATGAAAGTAAATATAATAAAATAATTTTATGAAAGAGAAATATTAAAAATTTTACATTTTTATTCTGTTTGTAAGTGAGAAATAGAGAAAATTTTTTAATAAAAAAAAAAAAGATGTAAATAACAAAATCTCTAACCATTTTTGTTTTCAATTGCCTTCTTTTGGTTACACAAATTTTATTCACGATCACGTTTATTACGTGGATTTTAAATGGTTCATTTTATATCAATTGTTTATTATTTGAGGATGAGTTTTGTGTTAAGAGAACTTTTCCTTAACAAAAATCAAGTGCTTGATTCCATTACACTGATTACTTAGGATTGTGTATGATAGATATAATAATTGATTCAAACAAATTCATTAGCTTGAATTTTGATCGTCTTTAAAATGATTTTTTCTATTTTACTCAACGTTTATTATATAAAATCATTACATAAAAAAAAATTTATCACACATAACAGAATATTCCAAACATAATTTTTTTTTCTTTAAATATTTAATGTCTATTTAGAGCATCTCAAAATCGGTTAACCCAGTTAAATACTATTAGAGTCATAATTTTGGAAAGGATAATTTGTATCTTATTTACTTGTTGCCGCGTGTGTGCCGAAATTGTTATTAACCAGCAGTTAAGTCAACATCATAACATTGAATCTTTCTTTAATAAAAATGAGTTCATCTTTTATCTTAATACTGTATGTTCAATGAATAGATACTTCAAAAATATATTAAAACATAATACGTAAAATATTTATATGTTTATGTAATTCTTGTTTTTTTTATTAAGTGAAATTTTATAAATTGTATTATACATATAAAATGCTTAACCACATACAATAGACTTGAATTGATAATAATAATAATAATACTTTGATTTTCAACAATAATTTATTATTAAAGTTCGTCATAAGGCGAGGATTTCAATATGTCGAGATTTAATTTAAAAAATATATTTGGATTCTGAAGATCATACTGCATTTTATTTACAGAATTAATTCATGGACTGCGAACTTACAGTGATTAAAAATTCTAGCTGCTTTATAATTAGGTTATTTACAAAGTAATAAAAATGATAATATTACTCATTTGTTAGTTGGTCAACGATGGTTTTAAACGCACAGTCATGAAATAAAAATGGAAATTATAAATGATAGTTAAATCTAATATGCATTTGTTCATAAAAATTTAAAATGTATATTATTATCAATTAAAAAAAGTGAATCAAGTTTTAAATATTCAGTTTGATAAATATATCATTTGGAGGTTCAGATTCAAAATTATAATTGATTGTACTTTATGATAAAACATTCTCGATTTGTAAAAGATCAATTTCAAGTGATTAAAATGTAATTTATACATACCACTATAAATCATTATTTAAGTTTAGGACCTATTAAATGCTCCATATACTACATGTTTATTCAAATTTTCAAATTAATTTAAACCAGAATCTTATTTTATAATCTGACATATGAAAGGGAATAAATGTACCTATATATTTCTGAACTGATTTTCTTAAATAAAAAAACCACATCAAAATTGGAATGGCAAACTAGTTATTTTTTAACAACTTGAAAAACTTCATAGTCATCGGCTTTAAACCCATATTCTGGTATACCAATTTTAGGATAAGAGCATGAAGTATTTGTATAGCCATACCAATTCCCACCAGAAAATACTAAATCACTACCTCCACCAAAGTATGCACCAAAATTTGAACTATAACGTATAGAATATTGATTACCAGTACTATAACCTACTTTTGCACTTTGAAGGTCATCTTTATTTTTAAATGAGAATAAAAAGCTATCATAAGTAGATGCAGATGTAACAATTGGATCCCAATTAAGTGGATTATATCCTCCAACTATTTGCTCTGAATTGTTGATTTTTACTATAACAATAGTAGCTCCTTTATTATCACATTTAGTATGAAATGCTGTAGCTGTATTACCATCTCTACTAGCACGATAAAGTAAATTAAAATTAAAAGGAATAGTTTTTTCATTATAATGAAACTGATTTTTCTTTTCAATCCAACTAGAAAACATGGCAAAATGTTTGTTATTAATGAAAATAGAATCATAAATACATTTTGGTTTTCTAGGAGATTGTATATTAATATTTAATTGTTCATCTGGAGCCATATGAAATACAAGTAAATTATTAACTAAATCCTTTGGTATTACCTTTTTAAAGGGGTATACTTTAGTTATAAAATCTGCTGAAGAGATATGATAAAATCTTATTGATGGAATAAATCTATGAATAGTTCTTTCCATAATTACACCTGCTTCTTTATTCCATTTCTTAACATCTTTCTGAATAGAAGGATTTTGAAAAAAACACCATTTAATCAGGTTATTCCATATATCAATTTCATTCAATGATAAATCATCTCGTTTTAAAAGTAACTCCAATAAAGGTGCTTTTAAATTGATAAATTTATCAGATTTAAATAGTATGTCTGGCTTAGCACAAATTTCTTCAAGACAATAATTCCATAAATCCGTGAAAGCTTCGTGCTGGTAGACCATTTCAAGAATTTCTGTAGGATTTTGTTGTAAAAATTCATGTTGATGTTTAATCAAATATTCCTGAATACAAATGATTAAAGTTTGTATTTTAAGTTCATCTACTGCTATCAAAAGCTTTAGAACATCTAGTCTTTGTAATTTCGCCAAATCAATCTTTCCACAATAAATAAATCTAAAATATATAAAAAAAAAATTAGTTACCGTGGCAATAATTTTATATAAATATACATTCTTTTATATTTGTTTTTTTCATTACCTTAAAATGATTTTAAATAATTGAGGGGAAATATTAGGGAAATTAAAAATAAATTTTCCATCCTTTTTCTTGGTCAATTCATTAGAGAGTTCAGTACGAAAATATTGAGACCTAATACGTAAAATATTTGAAAACGCATGTATTTCTTTTCCGTTTTCATTTTCACCGGCGAAAATAATAACATCATATCCTTCATCAGTTTCGAACAATTTTTCATAATCACTAATAGCTTCCTGACAATATTCAAAAGACATGGTTTATAATTTTTTTTTTTTTTAAAAAAAAGAAAAAGAAAATTTGTATTACAATGTTTGATCGACGTTTATTCATTTATTCTTTATTAGGTAATCACATGATAAATTTATAATGAGTAACAGTCACACAATCGTACAATAAGCTTTTTAAATTAACCAATTCAAAGTTAAAAATTAAAATGCTCTGCAAATTCTAAATTTTTAATCTTAAAGACGTAACAAAATAGTAATTTAAAAAATTAGGGAGAAATATTAGGGAAGTTAAAAATAAATTTTCATTGGTCAATTCGTTTAAACAAAACATTACGCAAAAATTTTGAGTGTACATGTATTTCTTTTCACTGACACGGATAATAACGTTATTACGTTATATTCTTTATCAGATTTAAAGGAGCTTTTACATAAAATTTGAGAAATCATATATTAAATAAATAAAAAAATATATAGAATATACATTTAATTTTTGGTAATAATATAATTATATAAAATTTGGTCTGTAGACTGTATATACAATTATAAGATGTTTAAAATTACATAAAAACATGATAAAGTTTAAGCTCAATAAATCAATTTAAAACTTAATTAATTGATAAGTAGGAGGTTTAGTTTTATAAGCATAATATTCACAAACATCAATACAAAAATCTGAATATATTTCTTTGGTATCATCAGATAATTTGTGCCACTTCTTAGAAATAACTAATCTAAAATATTTATTAAGTTTATTATTTTTTTTTTTTTTTTTTTTTTTTTTTTTAAAAAAACTGTAATGCATCTTTATTAGAATCTCGATAATCAGATTATACACTCTAATATAAAAGATACCTAGAGCCAGGCCGTGTCAAGCACGAGCCCACCCTATAACAGAGTAATTTTCGGACAAAAGATACATTACAAAAATAATATAATAAAATAAATACTTTACCTACTAAACCTAAAAATTGCAAACTATCTATTTGTGAAACCTAACTACTTAAATCTACTTTGAAATAATATAGGAGAAAGGAATGAAATATGTAATAACGCTAGGTCAGCTAAATGCTGCTACAAAAGATGAGCTCAAAAGTCTCACACCTAAACTATTTTATTTCATCTATTCCTCCTTAATCCTACAAAATGTAAAAGTTAGTATTCTAAAACTAATAATAAAAGGAAAAGAAAAAGAAAAACATTTTTATATTTTTATTTTATTATCGGAAAATTTTTAACGTGATTCACATGACTTCGATTAAAATGTAATTCACTTCTTCTTCTCCATTAGTTCTTCTTCTTATTCTTCTTCTTCTTTTTTCCACCTGCCTTCTTTGGTGATGATGTTGATGCTTGCGCTTCTACCTTTTCCTTCTTCTCTTTTTCGATTTCATTTCTCATGGTCAATTGAATTCTTTGTTGCTGCTGATCTTCTCGATAATTGATTGCCCAGCTATCCTCTGTGAGAGATATATCTTCTTCGTCAGAAGGCTCAAATTCCTCCATGTCATTCTCTCTTTTCGGAAATTCTAATAATGGTCTTTTTTCCCCAATTTTCTTATCATCTTGGTAGCGATTGTTATTCTCCAATCTTTGTTTAAAATTATCGTTTAGGGTGGTATATTCCAAGAATATTTTCATTTTTTCCGCTAAACTTATAATTTTGTTTCCAACTAGGAAAAAATTATTTTTGTCCATGGCCCATTTTCTAGCTTCCACATGACTCGTAATTCCATGTTCACTGCGTATCGTATTGATGGCCTCGTCATTAATTTTATTCCATTCCATTTCGTTGGACGTTTGATTGAAGATTTCTTTCACTTCCTTCAGTTTGTCGACCAAACCCTCGTGTGTTGATTCTTGATACTGAACATAATTAATTTTTTTTCTTTGTTCTGTAATCTTTGATGATTTCAACCACTTCCTCTGGTGCTACATTATCTTTCTTTAAAGAAACTTGCTCTTCTTTTTTCCCTGAGGTGTCAATTTGATCTTGCGTATTGTCTTCTCCTACTCTCCAATTTTTGATCATCTCGACAACTTCGTTTTCGTCTGGCGTCTTACTTATCCTTGATGGTTGTTCCATTTTTGATGGGTGTAGTAAGCTTTCTTTTCGTGAAGCGAAGTTCCCTAATTCTCTGTAGATTCTCTCTGGTGGTGTGGTAGGTGTCTTCGGTTCACTGGCGGTGAGCTTGTTCTTTTTTCTGGCGTTATAACCTTTGCTTGAGCAGTCTTTTCTTTCTTCGATCTTGTCTTATCATCACCGTCTTTATAAATTGTCTTCTTGTTTCTCACAAGCCAAACTCTATTGATGTCTCCATGTGTGCATGAATCCTCCACTGCTTCTTCCATTTCTTTGAGGTTCTTGAAATACCCAATCACTTTCCATTTTTTTGTGATTTTGATAATTTTAATGAATGCCTTTTTGGAAGTTTGTTGCAGTTTTTTCGTGAAGTCGTATGTAGTTCCCTTCTTTATGGATTCCATTTCCTTGTTAGTTAGGTCTCTTACAGTCTGCCATTGATCCCGTTCTCGTCGTCCTTTCAAACCTAGTTTCACGTCGTACCATCTAATAAAGTGTTTGCTAATACAAATACCGAAATGTCCATCCAAGAACGTTTTTTCAAAATTTTCGTTCAAAGCGATTTTTGCCTTAACGGTTTTGTATTTATATTGCCCTCGAATTTGCAGTCTATAAACCGTTCCTATCTTCATCAGGTTTGTTCTTACGTCGTCCTCACTCCAATATTTTGGTATATCGTAGAAAAATATGTCACATGCCTCCTTGGCCTGCTGATCATTACTGATATTTTCAGGTAAAACTGGTATCTCTAAAATTTCTTCCCGTTTTCTCCTGTTTGATGTTGATCTGCCTTTTTTGGATTTATTCGGCTGATCTATTTCTTTGTTGATGCCTGTTTTAACCTTTTTTAGTTCTGATTTCGTTTTCTCTACTTCTTGCGAAATTTTCCTTATTTGCTCATTTTTCTGCGATATTATTTGTGCTTGTTGTTTCTCCTCATTGACTTTTCTGTCCATCACGTGATCCTTCCTCCGCAGTTCTTCTCGCAATTTCGAATTTTCCCATGAGAGTTGTTTTATTTCGTCTATGTAGACTTCGAAAGACGTTGCTGAACACTTTAAAACTATATCCTTTATCGTTTCTTTTCTGCGTACAGCGTCATTCTGTATTAACTCCAGGAAATTTTGTTCAGTTTTGCTAAGACCGCCGTCTCTTGGTGCTCTTTCTTGACTTTTTGCTGTGGTTCTTGGGTTCGCACTGAAAATATTTTTTGTTTCTTTCAGAAACCTATATCTATATTCTGTAAATTTGTATGCTGACTCCATTTTTGAGGTTTTTTATTAGGGTTTTATTAGTAAAAACACTCGTAAAAGACGTTTTTCCTTCCGCTAAAAATTTGGGCAGAATGATCGTCAGAAAGAGTTCCCCATTAAGTTTATTATGTCCTTCAAGTTCCAGATTTAATTGTTTATAAAAGACAATATAGCAATTTGGTAATCTTGAATATCTTCCATTACGTAATTTTCATGGACAGAAGGTGTTGAATGATAATTTAATTGGATGATTTACTTGAATATTCTTATAAATAATTTTACGTTGATTTTTAGCTAGTTCGACTGCAGAAGCTGCAGAAGTTGAGATTATATTCTCTTCTTGCGACATAATAATTTTTTGTAAAATATTAAAATTTCTTGAAGGAAAATAAATTTATTATGCACGAACGGGACTAAAATCCGATTGGTAATCCTTTTATATATGTACAAGTTACACGGAAAAATAACGTTTCATTTAATATTACTCAGATGATCGTTTGTGAACGTTTTCTGCAAAAATAGATATTTTAATGTCAATCAGTCGATCATCGATTATGATTCCATCATTTAACGAATTTCATTTAATCTTAGATATACGTATTGTAGTTTAATATACAAAACACATAAGAAAAGACATAAGACCATGGATAATAGATAATAGTGGCATTTGAACAATCTTATAGAAATTTTTAATGCTGAATTTAAATGTGCTATTAAAAATGGTTGTTAAATAGATTTTAATCTTTTATTTTATGTTAATCAATTTATCTGATTATTATTAAAGCAAAACACTTAATTGATAACATATTTGAAATATTCCTTCAAAATTTTGATTGTGTCTATAATTTATAAAAAACAATTACGAGTCAACTCGGCTAAAGCGCATAAACTTTTAAACTAAAATAGAATAATGAATCTGAGTCTTAAAATATGAAAATTATTTAATGTCATTCTTTAGAATATTTTTTTTTTTTTAAAAGGAAAAAATTTTATTAGTATTGAGATAATTAGCAAAGTAATCAACCCAATGTCAAATACACCATGTCAATAAAGTATCTAAACTAATACAAAATTTTGATCAATACTACAAAAAAAAAACTAACTATGTTGTAATTAAGCTAATTATAGCATATAAAAAAAACTACTCTATTGAACGATTACTCTCTATCACTATTTATTTATTTATTTATTTTATTTTTTTTATTTCTAAAGAATGGTAATCAAAGTCTATTATCACTATCACTATCACTATCACTATCTTTCCCATTACCTTGAGTTAGAGCAACACGTTTTTTGTTAGAATTTAATGTATCACTACCCGTTTCAACTTCTTTACCTTTAACACTAAATTCTGAATTCAATCTATTAAAATCTTCAACCAGATTCTTATTGTGAACCGTCGAACCCGTTCGATTAGTCGTCCCTCCAAAAAACTTTGGCGTCTTTGGAGTTCTCCGTTTTCTAAAGATCCATTTTTGCTTATAATTTTATCCTGTGTTTCAATCGGTAAACCTGGTCCTAAGTCATCTTTTGTCGCAGAATCATTATATTGCCTTCATCAGATCATTTTCATTGTTAAAATATATTAGAATACATCTCACTTTGTTTATTCTAATAATTTTACTGAAGTGACCTTCATAAGTTCTAACATGTTCCTTGATGATTATATCGTCGGATTTCTCGTTATCTATCTTCACTTTCTTTACCGCTTGCCAACTGTACATATCCTTGATGTCACGTGGTGATAATTTAGAATCAAACATCCTGAAAAAATATTCACGTCCTTTTCTTGTTACTAATATGTTAGAGGCTCCTCGCAAATATTTCAACTCCATTATTTTTGTTTAGCGAATTTTAGCCCGGATGGTTTTATATTTGTAGCAACATTTGACCTTTAAATTTTCTACGTAACTGTCGTAACCCGCTTCTTTAATATTTCCAATACCATAGAACGTTAGATCACGTGTAATATCAGAAAAATTTTCTTCCAGATAAACCGTGTGGCTTGTTAATTTAACCGGAGTTTTGTTGATCATCCCATTTTGAGATTTTTGTGTATTCGATTTTCTCTGATTATTACACCTCCTGCGTGATGACTTTTTTCTTGAGCTCTACTGTGAACTCGTGATTTAAAGAATATTTATCCATAATGCCTTAATAAATTAATAAATTAACAATCAGAGTACTGACATTAAATTTGATCATAAATCGTACATTAATAATAAGACTCGTAGGGTTGGATCGGTCCGGTCCGGTCCGGTCCCAAAAAGACCGGTCTTTCAACCTGGACCGGACCGGACCGGGACCAGACCGATTTAAATTCAAGAAATTTTGTCCCCATTATTTTAAGACCTCTAAAACATTAAAGAACGTTGCGAAACATTTTTTAACATGTAATTTAACAAATAAACAACGTTTCGCAACATTTTTTAATTATTTTAATAGAAAACGTTGCGAAAACGTTTTTTATTAATAAGTTCATAAAAAAAAACGTTTTTCGCAAACGTTTTTAATTATTTTAACAAACAACGTTGCGAAAACGTTTTTATTAAGTAATTTACGTTTTGCAGCGTTTTTTATTAAGTAATTTAATAAAAAAACGTTTTCGCACGTTTTTTAATTATTTTATTAATAGGAAACGTTACAAAAACGTTTTTTATTAATAATTTCACGAAAAAAAGGTTTTTGCACATTTTTTAATAAAAAACGTTGCGAAAATGTTAAAAACCGAACTGATAATCAGTTTTGGCAAAAATCGTGCCCTAGAAGTACATGAGCACAAAAATTTGGCTCATTTTTATTGGATATTAATAATATAAGATTGGTCCCGGTCCGGACCGGTCCTCAGATCTTGGACCGAAGACCGTGAAGACTGGTCCCAAGACCGACGCAGGACCGGTCTTTGCTAGGACTGATCCAACCCTAAAGACTCGATATAATAACGATATACTCAGACTCATAAAATTTGTGAATAAATGTTAAAATTTTTCATCGTACTTGAATTTTTATTTTATTTATCGTTTATTCCTGGTCGAAATTAAATGATCAGCATAAAATTTTACCTTTTTTAAAACCGATGTTTCCCATGTACAAATAGAAATTGTCAAAAAAAATTAAATATTAAAAAACGTGAACAAAATTGTATAAATTCCCCATAGTTCTTTTTTATTTTCTCTGGCATCCTCAATAAAATTATTAACCAGGTGTATTGGTTCGTTTATACATTCTCTGGGTAACCTGCAATAATTGTCATGATTTGGGTTCAAATTTGTCAAACGTAGGCTACTACAGGTTATTGCCCCAAAAATTATTGCCGATCAGTAATTTATCCAGATAGGAACGTTAGAAACGTATATTACACACTACATATACTGTACATATACAGAACTTTGATGCACAGTGACATCATATAAAATTTTAGCCAACTTTAATTTCTTTAAAAAAAAAAAATAATAAGTATATTTTTTTTTTCACATTAAGTTTTAGAAAAAAAAGCCAATATTAAAATAATTGAGAAACATGTCACACAAACAAATATTGGATTATGTTTTTAATCCAAAGAAAAAAAAAATAATGACTTACGAAAAAAACAAATTTCTATTAAGGATTATATCCCTGGTACTAGTGATGAATTAAATTATGTACGTGAATACCCAAATTTGGAGAAATTAGAAATATTTGAATATTTTGAATATATTAATAATTCAAATATATCAACTACTGAATTACTATATCTAGATTATTGTAAGAATTTAAAAGAATTAACTTGTTCTCGTATTAATCTAACTATTTTAGATCTTAAACAAAATAACGAATTAGAACGTTTAAATTGTTATAATAATTTAACCAGTATTAATTTTTTAAAAAATTTATCTAACCTAAAAATCTAAAAATATTAAAGATTGATAATAATAATAATATTAAACCAACTACTCTTGATTTCTTAAGACCTTTCGTTAATTTGGAAAATTTATCTTTAAATTCTTATGTAAATTTAAAACAATTAGAAGGAAGTTATAATCAATTTTATGGTTCTTTAAAACCTTTAGAAAATCTCAGTAAATTAAAAGAATTAAATATTTCCAATACTGATATTGATAGTGGATTGGAATTTTTATCAGAAAGTATTGAAATATTTCGTTGTTCAACAGATTATTATAAAGCTAAATGTAAAGTTATTGCTGATATTTTTGCCAATGAACAAGGAATATTAGAAACAGATATGAATGGAATAAAGCATACAAGCAAAAACTTCAATATGAATCTCAAGAATTAAAAACTCAATTGATGGAATTGAAACAAAAAAAAGAGGATTCTGATCGAAATCTTCTTAATTTAGAAATGATTGCTGAAATTTATTATCAATGTTCTCAAATGGAAATTAAAACCAATCAAAAAAAGTATCAAATGATTTAAATGGAATTAATTAATTTGCAACAACAGATTTTTTAACTTGAGCAAGATAATCAAGAATTAAAACTTTTGTCAAATAGGCAAATTATGGAATTTACAGAAAAAGAAAATGCTTTTAAAACTCAAAATTAATTGAAAGACAAACTTAATTTACAAGAACAATTAGATCAATCAGAAGCAAGAAATCAAGAATTAAAACTTTTATCAGCTAAACAAATTAGGGAATTTGCAGAAAAAGAAAGTACTTTTCAAATTCAAATTGATTTCCTGCAAAATGAAAATCATACCTTGGTTGGAAGTTTAGCTATACAATTGAAACAAAATAAACTAACTAATAAGCAAGTACAGTCTCAAATTGGAAAATTAAAAAAAGATAAACTTGAACTGCAAGAGAAATTGATTAAATCAGCTGCTTGCATTCAAAAATTAAAATCTCAAAAAGCAAACTTGATTAAACAGAAAGATTCATTGGAAGATAAATTAAATCAATCCCAAACCACTTATTAACAAATAGAAAATGAAATTATCGATAATAGTAATATGTTGAAAGCTCTCTTGCAATCTCAAGACCTTAATGGTAAAGAGAATGAATTAAAAGCCGAGTTAGAAAAAGAAATTTTACAACTAGAAGGAAAATTGAATAACGAAAAACAAATCAAAGCACAATTAAACCAAGCTTTACAATTTAAAGAAAACAAAATAAATGAATTGGAACGAAAATTAATTTATCTAGATCAAGAACGTATTGGACAATTAAAAGCAAAAGAAAGAGAACTAATTGAAATCAAAAAAGAGTTAGTGGATAAATTAACCAGAGGAGAAGACACCAAAGAAATTCATAAAGAAAAACAAGCTAAGAAAAAAGAGTTGAATGAGATCAGACAAGAATTAATGAAAACTTCAGCTTCTTGTGATGCTAATAGAAAAAAATAAATTCTCAACCAAGCTAATAATTTTCTAAAAGCCAAGGATGACTTCTTAATTTCTCGGGGAAAAGCTATTAAAAAACTACAAAAGTGTTATAATAACTTAGAAGGCTCTACTAATAAAGGAAGACACGCTCGAAATGAAATAATTGGTGATGGTGTTACATCACTTGGAAAATCTATTCCAGTTGCTGGGAGGGCTTTTTGTTTTCTTGGATATGGTTAATATAGAAAATAAAATCTCTAAAGTAAAATTTGCTAATAAACGTACTAAAGAATTTCAAAGTATTCTTTTAGAATATAATGAAGCTGGATTATTTCAGCTTAATAATGATCATATTCATTTAACAAATATTATTCAAGAAAATGAAGACTTGAAAATTAGTCAAAAAATTAAAGATATTTTTAAGTTGGATCTGTTTGATATTAATGAATACAAAATTTTTAAATATGCTACTAATTCTTGGGAGGGAAACAGGGAATTCTTAGATTCTATTGCAATGCTAGCAGATATAACTTCTTTAAGAAATAATTTTGATGAGTTGAAATCAGAACTTAGACAACAAGAAAAAGAATTTAAAGAATTTAACACAAATGAATAATGTGTTATATTTTAAGGCTTAGTAGTGTTTGGTTTTAAATTCATGTATATATTTTTTTGAATGTCAGTTGCAATTATGTAACATATAAATATTATAATTAGGATTGTATTCTTTATGTAATAGCTTTCCGATTATTATATCTGATGTTTGTTAAAGAATTTCTGTTTCAAATGCAATATAAGTGGTCATTTTATTTTGAACTAAATATTATTTTATTATAATAAATTTTTAACCATTAAATCCTACAACTAGATAGGGATTGAAATCTATTATATCAAAATTGAATTAATCGTTTAATACGAATAAAAATCGAATCTAAAATATCGGAGGTAATTTTGGCCAAATATGTAATACCGGCCTGCATTATGAATTATATAAATCACGGAATATTGCAAAAAAATTATTTTGTGGAACGGAATCGACAAATAAGAGAATGGTCTACCATATACCACGTGATCATTTGTTTCGTCAATATTTAAATATTTATGTAGTCTACTTTGAAGAAGTTAGTTCTGAAAATGTATTTCTCGGACTTAAATAAATGAATAAAATCCCAACAGGAACTGCAACATTACATGATCATCATTGATCAAAAATTAAAATTATCTATGTATAGAAAACATATATTGCTAAGTTAAAAAAAAAATGTATTACTAAAAAATTTATAGTTAAAAAATGTAATGCTAAAGTTATAGTTAAATTTTATCAAATTTTTAAAAAAAACGATTTAGAGGAATGCACTTTAAATGTAACGACTTATTAACACTTTAAAAGCCAACAATATTTATTATATAATTTATAATTCGTTACAAAAAAAAATTGATGTATAATATTCATTTAAAACGATAATTAATTTAGTTTTTTGTTGTTCTGTTTCTATGTAAGTGTTACACCTGATCCTAAAATTTCATTGGCCATATAAGCGGCGTGACGGACTCACGGACAGACATCGCATGCTTTCAAGTCCAAATTAGATGCTAATATTATTTATAATATATATTAGTATAAGATAATTGATATTTTTATGAATAATTAAATATTACTCGCATGCGATGACTATTATGATGAGTCAATATTAAACGATTTATAAATAATACAGTAATAAAAAAATTATTATTTTTTTTTATTTATTTAATAAAAAGGAGTATTGAAGACAATAATCATAATTTCACTTTGTCAATTGTTAATATTACAGAATACAGATTAACTGTAAGGTAATGCGTCAATTTTAAAATTGCATAATACTTTAAAGAAAAAGAGCTTAAATATTTATACACTCTCACATAGTATATATTTCTAATTAGATTTGCATACGCACATGTCTCTTTCCATGTTTTTTTTGTAACTATTAAATACTATGTTTTCAGCAAATTATATTTAAGTTTGAGAGATAAAAGCTATAATATTTATTAGCGGTAAATAAGATTTACGTGTAAAAATTGACTAAAACAATTTTGTAAATAATATTAGAATACGAAATTGTAGAATTTTAAAACCGCATTTTATAGTTTATTGTTTTCTCTTTAATAATATGGGATAATAAACATTTTATGATAAAAGAAACATATAAATAAATTAGATAAAATTCCGATGCCGAATTTTTACAATTATTTTGATATGAATTAGTTTACTAAATGATATAAATCAGATGATTAAAAGTAAAAAAAGAAAAATTACAATTTATATGATCATTAGTAATTATAATGCAGCAGAAAGTGGAATTTAATAATAATGATAATTTCATGTCATTAGAAATAAGAATGATTCACTAACCGTGAATCATATTAAATTTAAAGATTACCCACCAATTTAGTTAATGAATCTGTACGTTAATTTTGTTAAGTAAAACGCTATCCCAATAGATTCTCCTAAATGTTAATAAACAATTATAAGAATTCCAACTGGATTTTGCACAATAATTCAGTTCGATGATCAATTAAAATTTCTTAAATGTAGGAATTCAATGAGTGAATATTAATCTAACCTATAATTATCAATAATTTTAATTCATCTGATTCTTATGATCACATTATATGATAAATGGACCGTTCCTTTTATCAACCATTCGTTAGAAAATGCAGAACAAAATATTGAGTTCTGGTACAATAAATATTTGAATAAGCAGACATGAATTCCTTTAACATTTTGTTGTTCTACTGCATAAATAATAATATCATGCCCAATTTCTGTTTAACAAAATTTTCATAATCCTTAGATAACACTTTCAAAAATTTTAAAAATATAATTGATGTTAAAATTTAGAGCCAAAGCCTTATTTTTATTAATTTATGTCGAAAAAGGAAATTATTAATGCATAAATTGTTTAAATTTAAATTTTCATTTTAGTATTAAATAGTCAGTATAGATTATTTATTATATAATATAATTCTAACAAATATAATATATATACAAATGTAAAATCAATCCTATTTTCAAAATAACTTCTACTTTTATACTGTCCATACTGATACATACCGTAAAATACACCATACACTAATTAGTTGTAACAGTACTGTAAAATAAAAGTCCGTTTTAGAAACCATGTAAAAAATCTAAGTATATCAATTTCAAAAGATCAAAAACTCCAACATTTTAAGAGGCATTAAAATACTCCATGTACTGTGTTGAATCTTTTTTTTTAGTAACTGAACCTAACATAGATTAGAAATATACCATATAATATATATATATATATATATATATAAATAAGAACACTTAGACGACGTTTTATATAAAGAATTGTATAAATATATACATTAAAATTGAATAGCAAACTAGTTATTTCTTAACAACTTGAAAAATTTCAAAGTCATCCACTTCAAAAATCTTTCCTGGTATACCAATTTTGGGATAAGAATGAGTATCATCTCTATAGCTATGCCAGTTCCCTTCATAAAAATATAAATCAGTACCAAAGACCACGCCATGATCTGAAAAGAAACCTATAGAATACTTATTATTATTACTATAACCTACTTTTGCACTTTGAAGGTTATTTTTTTCTGTAAATGAGAATAAAAAGCTATCTTTTGCAGACACCCATAAGTTACTTGAATTCCAATCCAATGGATTATATCCTCCAACTATTTGCTCCGAATCCTTGATTTTTATCACAACCATAGTAGCTCCTTTTTTATCACATTTAATATGAAAGTCTGTATGCGTATCACCATCCCTACTAGCACGATAAAGTAAATTAAAATTATATGGAATATTTCTTTCATTATAATAAAAATGATTTTTCTTTTCAATCCAACTAGAAAGGATAGCAAAATAACTACCATTAATTATATTAGAATCATATTTAGGCATTCTAGGAGGATGTAAATCAATATTTAATTCCTTATTTGAATTCATATGAAATGCAAGTAAATTATCAATTATATCTTCAGGAAGCAACGCTTTAAAAGGATCTACCTTTAAAATAAAATCCTCTGAAGTTATGTGATAAAATCTAATTAAAGGATTAAATTTGTGAAGGGTTCTTCTCATGATTGTAATTTCCTCTTTATTCCATTTCTTAACATTTTGTTGAATAGAAGGATGTCGAGCGAAACTCCATTTAATTAGATTATCCCATACAACAACTTCATCTAATAATAAATCATCCCGTTTCAAAAGTAATTCTAATAAAGGTTCTTTTAAATTGATAAATTTATCCAATAATACAGCTGGTTTTTCACAAATTTTATCAAAACAATAATTCCATATATCAGTGAAAGCTTCATTTTGATAAGCAGTTTCAAAAATTTCTATGGCATTTTGTTGTAAAAAGTCGCATTGGTGTTTAATCAAATACTCCCTAATACATTGAATTAATGTTTGAACATTAAGTTCATCCACAGCTATTAAAAGATTTAGAATTTCTGGACCTTGTAATTCCGTCAAATCGATCTTTGCACAATAAATAAATCTAAATATCAAATATTACATTAACAATCATAAAATTATTGTTATATTCAATTTTATATAAAAAAATCTCCTTTATTCTTTTCTTATACTGTACCTTAAAATAATTTTTAATACTTGAGGGGAAATATTGGGTTTATTAAGTATAAATTTTCCATCTTTTTTATTTGCCCATTCATTAGAGAATGCTGCACGAAATATTGAGACCTAGTACATAAAATAAGTGAATGTGCATGAATTTCAACTTCATCTTCACCAGCATAAATAATAACATCATATCCTTTATCAGTTTTAAATAATTTTTCATAATCATTTATAAGTTCTTGAGAATATTTGATCGACATTTCCATAATGAAATTTTTTTTTT